ACTTTGGTTTACCTGATTAGTAATTTGTACCAAATGTTCTGTCTTAAATATAGTTCATCTAACAAACCTGACACCCTCTGTGTTTGTCTGAGTGTTTTCAGTCGTGTCTGCAACAGCCGCCTTTGAACTCATTCTAAGAAAAGTTAATGTTTTGGGGTTTTTTTGAGTGGTGATGTTTATTAGCATCGGTCCTCAGAAAGCATCCATGTTGAACAAAACAGGTGAGATGAATAATGGAGCATCACAACAAAACACGATGAGTTACACTTAAGGAATATAATCTGTCCAGTTAGGAAGCAGAAACTGTGATGAGTGTAGCTCACCTGCTTTGGTGTAAATAAAAGTGACAACAGGTGCATGAGAGAGGCAACAGAATAAACCCTCCTCTCACAGATCATTGATCTTATCCCTCCTGACTGATTCTTGCCACTACTGCATGAGACTGTCCCTGCATCGCACTGAGGCTTCACAGAAAGCACACATGACATCACATTGTAATAATTGTTATCTTGTACTCACATGAGTCAAGCCAAGAATGTGGACACGAATCTCTGGGGCGGAAAAACTCCTCGGACTTCATGAACTGAAGTGGCAAACCGTCCAGGCTTTATGAATATGAGCTACAAGCATACTCTGATGGGCAAAGTTCAGTGGCAAACCATTATACCTACTTAGCTTTGTGCTGAAATTACCCTGTGACAACACAAATGTGCATAAACTACTTATGGTAGGACGGTTTGTCAGAACACCGGTATGCCCGATGACAGGAATGTGGGGGGAAAAAACCCGACTCCTCAGTTCTATGCTGCGAACATTTTCTCAGTCATGTCCGTTCTCGAAGTTTCCTCTCCAAGAGCAGCACCGTCAGACTCTTTTTCCAGTTTTTGGAGGTAGGAAAGTTTTGGGCTGAACCATTTGTTGTTTGAGGAAGGGGCGGGGGGGTAACACTATGTAATATATTCGGTTTTAGAATTTATATTCATAACTGTAGCTAGGTTCAAAGTCTTAATACCATCTAATATAAATAAACAATACTCTCATATGTACAACCAAGGTGGCACAAGGGGTAGCAAGCGATCATTTTAGGGTGCCACCCCTGCCAAGAATATGGGATAGACGTCACCCACCCAGTGCCCAAAAAACCTGCAGGACTCCTGCAGGACGTGCAACCATCCCCTAGCTGGTGTTTCTTGAAGACGTTTTACATCTCATCCGAGAAGCATTTGGTGAGTAAGTTTGTAAAAAGGATTCTATCATTTAATGTTGGGATATAAAAGTAATACACATATTTAAACGACTAATGTGTCCGGGTAAATGCACGGTTAATAACCGATGCCCAGGTGTTCAGTGCTTTATTTTGGATTTGCATCAAAAAGGAAATTATATTTTTAATAACGAACCTTACCACTACTGCCGAGTTGTGGAGCAGACGCAGTTTTTGTTGCATCACTCGAGTGAGTGAGTAAAGAGTTGGTCTTACCGCACACAGTGGTCCCGCGTACTTATTCAGAATCACACAATTTGCACCGATGTCTTTTCGAAATTCTATATGCGAAAAGTGAGCGCAAGAGCCCTCGGTGCGCCTGCTCGCTGATGAAATCAAAGTAAACTTTGTTGTCATCACCGCTACATACAGTCCAGTATATAGAGACGACGGGGCTCCAGTTACAGCAGTGCAAGTAAACAAACAAATATAAGAAGAGTAAGAAAAGAAATATACACTGTAGGACTTGGGGTAAAGGGATCAATGACAATTGAAAATTTATATTTTATAGTTTGATGATTTAATGTCTCACACACAACCTATCGAAAGGGGAGGGAGGCCGGCTGCTTCCAAATAGAGCACATTTCATTCATAATATTGTAAATCCAAGCCCGTTATGTATTAATGATTTGAATCCTGGGTTGTGCAAAATCCCAGAAATAAACCCTAGACAAAGTGAACCTGTGAACTAAGGTGTAGGTCTATTAGGCTATGTTGTGGTGATCCTCGGGATTCGTTGTTCATACTGGAGTGCAAAATTAAAACCAAGATGGACAAGAAAAGTTCAAAGCCATCAGGTCCTCAGTTTAGAAAAAAAGAGAAAAGAAGAACAGGAGAAATGAGCAAAAGATACAGGTAACCATCTGTGTCAATGGCAGGTCATGTATCCTGAAACAATCAGAATACTTTATTAATCCCTAAGTAAATTATGTGGGTTACAGTTGCTCCAAGAAGAAATTGTACATTATGTTACAGATTTCAATATTAATTAGTCAGTGTCAATTGTTGATTTGTCCTGTTGTCAAGAGGGAGTGTTCGCCCAGGGCACCAAACAGGCTAGGACCACATCTGCATGTGTGTGACTTAGGTATAATCTTTTTGGAAATTATTACTCATGATATAACACTGTACAGAACATACTTCGTAAGAAGAAGAGGAGGAAACCATTACAAAATGAGCTCTGTGAGGCTGCTAAAGGCAGTAGATCCCTCACCAGCTGGATTAAAAACGGCACAGGTAACAATAACACATACTAGTTTTTGCATTGCAAA